GGAGGGCGCGGCCGGTGGGCTCTGCGGGGGGCGGCGGCGGGCTGTGAGCGCCCGCGGGCGCGCGTGAAGGCTGCGCCTGAGGACTGGGATCAAACCTGCGCGCCCCTCTACCCAGGTCGCATTTGTTGAACCCCTGTGCAAGGCCTGTCCTTAGCGTGGGATGCGCGGACACGGCCTCTGCTGGCATAAGCCTTACGAGACAGACCCCTGAAGAAATAAGTATACAGGGTAAGGTGCTGAAATAGGGTGACGTGAGTCAGACGCAAAATGCAAGCGGATGCCCCAAACCTCAGGAATCAAGATAAGTTTTAGTGCAATATCTTTAAAAATCATAATGACACACACAAAAAAGCCATGCTTGACAGAAATCTCACGATTTTGTTAACAGTACCATGCTGAGCCATCTTGGAACCTAAGGCCAAAGGGAGAACTAGCAAAACTGATCCTGGGACTTAAGTTAGCCAGATATTGGAGGATACTGCCTGTAACAGGGCCACATATGCAAAGACAAGAAGATGGGAAGAGCCTCTGGTTGGGGTAAAACTGGACAGTTAGATTACACGAGACATGAAAACTTCCCAACTATGCCAATTAAGATGGGCCCACAAGCCAATGCCCGAAAGATGTCCCCAGACTCTATTTTCAAAAAGTAAAAACTGGATTCATATCATTGGACACACTTTGATTAACTGAAGCCCAGTGCTTTCTGATTCATTCATTATGAGATTGAGAATATAATTTCTATGGTTTATGACTTTTTACTTTGACACCACAAAACAGATATTCTGTGTTGTAAGATGGTGACTATTACCTATCTCAATATCAAAGTCCTCAGAAGTTCTAACTAGTGTATCAGTAATAGACTTTAATCGATTTCCCTTTAGAATCATCAGCAACCTCATTTGTATCCAAAGATCAAACACCACGAAACCATTGAATCTGTGCCTGTAACACACAGGGGAAGCAAAAAAGAATGAAAAAGTACTCGGCTAGTTGGTGCTGCCTGAGGATGTACATAAGAATTGAGATGCTGACACCTAATATGTCAGATTTAAATAGTTCTCTGTAACACTGGCTGTTGATTTGATCATTGCTGGAAGCAATGACTTGGTCCCCTGCAACCAGCATCAATTAAAAGTGGGTTCTATTGTTTTAAACAGGCACTTCTTCAGTCATCATGGGTATCCGAGGACTAATGAGTTTTGTGGAAGATCATAGCAATGAGTTCTTCACTGATTTGAAGTTGCGAGACACAAAAATTATCATTGATGGCTATGCTCTCTTCCACAGGCTTTGCTTCAACTCAAACTTGGAGCTCCGGTATGGAGGGGACTATGATTCTTTTGCAGATGTTGTACAAAAATTCTTTGAATCGCTGTTTTCTTGTAATATATGTCCATATGTTGTATTAGATGGAGGATGTGACATTTCAGATAAAAAGCTTACAACTTTGAAGGATCGAGCTAGAGAGAAGATCCAGACTGCCCATTCCCTTTCTGTTGGTGGGGGTGGGTGCGTATGTCCCCTACTCATCCGGGAAGTGTTCATACAAGTTTTGATCAAGCTGCAGGTATGTTTTGTCCAGTGCTTTTCAGAAGCAGATCGGGACATTATGACACTGGCTAATCATTGGAATTGCCCTGTGTTATCATCAGATAGTGACTTTTGTATTTTTGACCTGAAAACTGGGTTTTGCCCACTGAATAGCTTTCAGTGGAGAAACATGAACACTGTTAAGGGCACACAAGACTATTACATACCTGCCAAATGCTTTTCTCTTGATGCGCTCTGCCATTACTTCAGCAATATGAATAAAGCTCTACTACCTCTCTTTGCGGTGCTATGTGGAAACGACCATGTTAATCTGCCCATCATGGACACATTCATAAGTAAAGTACATCTTCCTCTTGGAGCTGCCAGTTCTAAGGGGAGGCGACACCACCGAGTTCTGGGACTTCTGAATTGGTTGTCTCATTTTGCTGACCCTACTGAAGCACTAGATAATGTTCTGAAATATCTCCCAAGAAAGGATCGAGAAAATGTTAAGGAACTTCTCTGTTGTTCCATGGAAGAGTATCAGCAGTCCCAGGTGAAGCTGCAGGACTTCTTTCAATGTGGGGCTTATGCCTGTCCAGAGGCCTCGAATCTGGGTGTACCGGAATGGGTTCTAGTGGCTTTGGCCAAAGGTCAGCTCTCTCCTTTCATCAGTGATGCTTTGGTGCTGAGACGGGCCATTCTTCACACACAGGTGGAAAACATGCAACAACCAAATGCCCACAGAATATCGCTGCCCATCCGACAAATCATTTATGGGCTTCTTTCTAATGTTTCTCCACATCTGGAAAACTTGTCCTTGAATGCACCGCCTCCTCGGCCTCTAGCTTTCAGTGAAATGGAAAGGATTAATAAAAATATAAAAACATCGATTGTTGAGGCAGTAGAACTGCCCAAGGATCATTCTGACTTAAGCAAATTGACTGAGGTAAGTGTTTATAATACTAATGTAATTTTTGTAAAGCACTTTATAGGTTACAAAGTGCTTTCATGTCAATTTTTAAAAAATTTATCTTTATTGTTGAAAGTATTACAGATGTTCCCTTTGATCCCCCACTGATCCCCTCCACCCCACATCCACCCCACCCTCAGGCCTTCCCCATACCAATGTCTGTGTCTATAGGTTATGCATATAAGCATGTAAGTTCTTTGATTGATCTCCCCCACCCCCGCCTTCCCTCTGAGATCCCTCAGTCTGTTCCATGCTTCTATGTCTCTGGATCTATTTTGTTCATCATTTTATTTTGTTCATTATATTCCACATGAGTGAGATCATGTGGTACTTGGCTTTCTCTGATGGGCTTATTTTGCTTATAATACTCTCCAGTTCCCTCCATGCTGTCCCAAAGGGTACGAGGTCCTTCTTCTTTACAGCTGTATAGCATTCCATGGTGTAAATGTGCCACAGCTTTTTTATCCACTCATCTACTGATGGGCACTTGGGCTGTTTCCAGATCTTAGCTATTGTAAATTGCACTGCTATGAACATAGGGGTGCATAAGTTCTGCCATTTCACCCAGTCATCCCACTTCTAGGAATATATCCTATTATCTCTCTTAATGTAACAAACTGAGGTTGGTTTCATATTGCCCCCACTTCATAGCTGAGAAAACCAGGGCTCAAAGTGGTATCTATGTAATACCTCAGCGAGGGAGCATGAGTACCAGGACTCACACCTAGATCTTTTAGCTCCAAATCTGCCATTTCACTTTTCACTGTTCTTCAGTAGTCTGTGTTATCTCTGTAATTATTACTACTACTCTGTTCAGTTACTAGCTATTACTACAATTGGGTTATATGGCTAACAACAACAAATAAGGAATAGGAAAAAATTCTGAGCTACCAAAAAAAAAAAAAGTGTGCCAGAAGGCATTGATCATAGGCATACTTTTCTTAGGCTTTTGATTTATGGCATCATGGTGACTTGCTTAGTTTAATAATGAAAACATGACTCAGCCTACGTAAGTGTTGCTTAAACCTGAGTAACACTCAGACCAATCGCCTTTTCAAGGTAAAAAATAATCCTTATTGGTCCCAGTGTTCACTATGTTTTTCATATTGCATAAATATGTTAAAAATTACAAATAGATATGAAACCACTTATGCTAACAAATTCACAAATTAAATGCATATAAATTTACAATACCAGTTTCATTGTCCATTAGGGTTTTTCTTAGGTCCAACTACATATTCAGATTCACAAGACTCTCATAGATTACTCTTGGTGTCAGTCTGCTCAAGGATGTAGGACAGCAACCATAGCTTCCCAGCAGGTTTGAATCAGGCTCCACTCTTCTGTGAGACAGTGCATCATTCTATGCCATTGGTTCTCCACTGGGGATGACTTCGTCCCCCAGGGGACATTTGGCAATGTCTGGAGACACTTTTGGTTGTCGCTGCCTAGGGGGATAGAGGGAGGAAGGTGTTGCTACTGGCATGTAAGGAGTAGAGGCCAAGGATGCTGTTTAAACATCTTACAATGCACAGAACAGGCCCCCAGACCAGAGAATTATCTGGCTCATATATCAGTAGTGCCAATGCCTGGCCTACAAAGCCTCCCATTATTGACAGCTCAGGCAGGAGAAAATGAGATTCTCATCAGGTAGCTACAAGAGCCTCCTTAGCAATGGGGAATGACTGCTAATGGGAACAGGACTTCTTTTTTGGGTGATGAAATGTTCTAAAATTAGTGATGGTTGCACAAGCTTATAATTATGCAAAACCACTTTAAAATGGTGAATTTTATGACATGAATTATCTCAAAGAAAAAGTCTTACTGGCCTCCTTCCCCACAGGACCCAACCTTTCTTGTAACAATTCTATTGACATCGCTTCCGAGGTCCCTGCAAGGTACATGCTTAATTACAAGTCACTGTACTCAGGAAAGCCCCATGATATGGGGTCCCCATCTGGTGTTTACAGTTTATTTATAGTTCAAGTCTAGATGCAGTTTTACAAGTCATTTTTATCATGCTAGGTAACACAGCTCACTTCATCACGTTTCCAGGGTTACAGAACTAGAATGTTGAACACAGGTCAAATTCCAAATAGAAGAGATTTATTAAAACTTTACCCACAGCAATAAAATTGAAATTAGCAATGTTCTAAAGGATGTCTTGCTGAAATTACATTTCTACTCATAACATAAATGGTGCTGTGGTGGAAGGTTTTTAAAAATACTTTTTATGGCTTTGTTGAGAAGTAATTGATGTACAGTGAAGTGCCCATACTTTAAGTGTGCACTTTTATGAGTTTTGATATATATTTATATCTGTGAATCCATCCTGCAATTAAAATAATGAATGTGTCCATCACCCCTAAAAGTTTCCTCTTTCCTCTTTGCCATTCATCCCCTCCTGAGTTTGCACATACAGCAGAGTGCAGATAATTGTACAGCTTGATGAATTTCCCCAACTCTACACGGCCATGTGAAGAACACCCAGATGAAGGCTCATTGTCAGCACCCCAGGGACTTTCCCTAGTTCTGGTTCTAGTCACCCCTTTTCCTACTCCCTATAATCACTATCCTGACCTCTAACATTGAAGAGTTTTGACTGTTTTTATACTTTATAAAAATGGAATCATACAGTATGAATTCTTTCATCTGGCTTCTTTTATTCAACACTATGTTTGTGAGATTTATTGATGTCACTGTGAGTAGTTGTAGAAAATTCATTTCTCACTGCTGTGTATTATCACAGTTTGGGAATATACCAAAATTGGTTTTTCCACTTTATAGCTGATGGGCATTTGGGTAGTTTGCAGTTCGGGCTATTACGCATAGTGCTGTGAACATTCTAGTGCACGTCACTTAGTGAAAATATGAACACATTTCTATTGCATATATATAGGAGCGAATTGCTGGGTTATAGAATACACCTGTGTTCAGCTTGGAAGATACATGCCAAATGGATATATGCCAAATGGTCTTGTAAAGTGGTTTTACCAATATTCCTACTAGCAAGCTTATGAGAATTCCTCTCCTTTATATCCTTGCTGATACCTGGTATTTTCTATCCTTTTGGAAAATTTTAGCTATTTTGGTGGTGGTGTAGTAGCATCATTGTAGCCACTTTTAGTGGGTGTTAATTTGCATTTCTCTGATGACTTATTTGAGCACCTTTTCATGTGTTCATTGGCCATTTGGACATTCTGTTATATAAGTTTCTGTTTAAAGTCTTTTTCCCAGTTTTGCGGGGGAGAGGGGGTATTTTTATACATGGGCTCTTTGTTAAATAACATGTATTGTGGTGAGTATGCTTTCCCAGTCTGTAGATTGTTTTTTAACTCTAGTATGTGTTGATGAACATAAGTTCTTAATATAGACTAAATTAAAATTGTATTATTTATGGTTATTACTTTTATGACTTACTTGAGAAATTACCATCTACTTCAAGGTTATGAAAATCTTTTCTTTGCCTTTCATATTTAGATCTACAATCTATCTAGAATTTATTTGTTTCTACATAGTGTGACATAGAGATCAGGACACTTTTTCCCACATGTGAAAATCCAATTGAGTCTATGAGTGTCGCAGGCTGATTATACTTGTTGCTAAGTGGAGATGAGAAGTGTTCTTCTCATCACTTAACTGGACTCAAAGTAAGGTGAAATTTTAGTTCACTCTCTATGCAGTGATGTCGTTTGGCTTTCCCTTGGCATAAGTTAATCAGCTGTGTATTTAGCTCAATCTTGTTAGCTCTAATTAGCCCACAATAATTCTAAACCGTATCAAGCACAAATGTGATTCCAGAGACACTTGCAGGTACAAGTATAGAAACTTTGTGATAGTAGCTGTTCATTGTTTTTCTTAACATGATGTGGTAATAATACTTTATCTGCTCTGTGCCAACTGTTGTTAATAGAAACTTTATAGTCTCTCATTTAATTCCACAGTAACCACATAGGATAGCGTTTCCACTTTGGTTATGTTAGTTGCACTGGACAGAGCGCCACTCAAGTTAACCAACAAAGGATAATCATAAGGAGAAATGGAAGTGGGTCATTCTTGGAGAGTAAGGCAGTGCCACGACCAGTCTCTCTCTGGGCACCTCTGCCTCTCCGTGTGGCTGCTGCTTCTGCACGCTTGTTTTTTCTCTCCTCCTGGGAGTTGTTACATGAAATAAAACCCAACCAGATTTAAGGCTCTGAGCAGAGTACCCCTTTTGGAAGGGGCTCCAATGGTGGGCTCCACGGGACATTTTGTGTAACTCATTATAATGCCCATTTTACAGTTGATCAAACTATAGAAAAGCTCAGAAACTTGCCCAAGGCTGTAGAGTTAGTGAGGGACAGAACATCTGACCTCAAGCTCAGACTCTGCTTTGTTCATAAGTTGTAATTTGGCTAGAGAATTCAGTAACTTAAGCATTATGTCAGTAAAGAATTCATGTATTTTCTTAGCCTTTACTTAATGTGTATTTCTACCAGTTTAGGAGATTATAAAGAATAGTTTTTGTTTTACTTTAAGTAATTAATGCTACTTCCTATGGTGGGGGAGATTGATTATACTACAAAGCATTTTAATATTTCTAATTTAAAAAAAATTATCACAGTATTAAATAATTAAAACCAGTACTTATAAATCATTTAGTGCTATCATGCACTGATGATGAAACTATTTTGTCAATTGTGACGTGTTTGTTTTGTTTTGTTTTTTAAATCCTCACTGGAGGATATTTTTTCCATTACTTTTCAGAGTGGGGGAGAGAAACGTCGATGTGAAAGACACACATTAATTGGTTACTCTCGCCCTGACTAGGACCGGGGATTGAGCTTGCAACTGATGTATGTGCCCTTGGCCAGAATCGAACCTGGGACCCTTCAGTCTGAGGGCTGACGCTCTAACCACTGAGCAAACCCGTCCAGGGCGTGAAGTGTTTTATTTCAGGTTAACATCTTATTCTCAACTGTCAGCACTTATTAACTACTAATTAGGTATTTGGTGCTGAGAAATGTTTCAGACTGTCTCATTCTTTCAGAAAGTAACAAAAGAAATTCTTTTCTGACTGCATGCAGACACTAGAAATACAACTATATTTTTCTCTTAAAGTTTGATTGTAAAGTCCCCCTGAAGGTGCCTTCCTAATAGTCTTAATTTCCTCATCTGTAAAAGTATGTGGCCTGTAGGGTCCCTTATGGTTCTTCAGCTTAAAATTCATTAAGGTAAAGTTATTTCAACAAGTAGTCCAAAGCCCTCGTAGCTGTTCACTTCTTTTTACTTGAAGTGCACTCTCTAAAACATGGAGTAAAAGTGAGTGTGGTGTGTTATTGCAAGCACAATGCAGGTAGTCCTTAAATATTCCTATCTCCCTTGAATATACCTCTCACCTACAAGTAGCCACCCTGGGACAGTCCCTGTGTAGGAGAGTACAAAGACAATAGCACATTCAACTGGGTAGGGACATGAGGCAGGACACCCCAAAAAACAAAACTGTGATATGCCACAAGGGTGCATGTAATCTAAGTTTCTTCTGGTTATTGGTAATGGAGTCATGGAGAAGGTGTACTGCCAAGTAAGGGATTAGTTGAGTATAGATCATTGTTTCTCAAAGTGGAAGAGTTAAAATGCAGATTTCTGGGCTCCCTCAGATTTGCTGAATCAAAATTTACGGGGTGGGGCCTGGGGATTGAATTTTTAACAGGCTTCCCAAGTAACATGTGCATTGAAGATGCTCAACCAGCGTACTTGGAAGATGGAATGACAAGAGCAAGGGCTGTGTAGTGGGAGTAGACGTGCATCCACTCAGTCAACCGTATTTATTAAGCACCTTATTAATGTCCTAAATGCTTTTGAGCGTGGCTGATTTTTTTACACAGAAGATAAACTACACAGCAATTTCATTTGCATTAAAATCTCTTCAT